CACACACACACACACACACACACACACACACACACACACACACACACACACACACACAGCGCCAGCTTCCTAGATTAAACAACCGTCCACCTTCAACGGTGAAGTATGCTAGGCACCCGCGATGATGGTGCAAATCAAAGCTGAAGATAAGCACGGCCAATGGATTATCGAACAAATTCCGAAGGTGCGACAAAATCGAAGGACCGCATCTCCACATCAAGATTACTACCCAAATCCGCGAGAGCGCTTCCAATATGGCACCCTCTTTAAGACCTCAATAGCACAAGGAGCATCAATCACGATCCTGCTGAAACTCCAGAGAATATCGTCTTCAGATGCATCGCATTGAAGTGTAAGACATCGCCCACGTGATCAGTCCAGAGGTCATAGGGACGGGGAGAGAGAGCACAGGGGCAGGGAGAGAGCACAGGGTGGTCGAGAGAGAAAGAGCAGGGGAGAGATAATAGGGCGCAGGGAGAACATGGCACAGGGCGTGGGAAAGGTCAGGGCTCAGCGCGGGGGAGAAAGCACATGGTATAAGGCGGAGGGGACAGCACAGGGCACAGGGCGAGGGAGAGATTACAGTGCACAAGGCGGGTGTGAGCGAAGGGCACAGGAGAGAGCACAGGATGGGGGGAGAGCGCAGGACAGGGGAGAGCGCAGGACAGGGGAGAGCACCGGACGGCAGAGAAAGCGCAGACGGCAAGATGGGGAAAACGAGCGCAGCACGGGGAGAGAGAAAGCAGGGCGGGAGCAAGTGCAGGGCGGGGGACAGCGCAGGATGAGGGAGAGAATGGGGGCCGAGAGGCCACGCGGCCGAGGACCTACATTTGGGGAAACGGAGGCGCCACGTGCGGGAGCGGGCACGTGGTGGCGGAGAAGAGACCATGTGGCGAAGGAGAAAATCCACGCAGGGGAGGGGAGAGGACAGCTTAGGAGAGAAGAGGCCAAATGACAGAGAATAGGCCACGTGGCGGAGAGAAGAGGCCGCTGACGCAGAGGTGAATAAAAGAATGACACCTGTGGTAATCGAAGGAAAAGCAGTGAGGCCACACGGCGGAGGAGAGGGGCCATGTGGTGTGAAGGAGAAGATAGGCCACGAGCAGAGGCAACGTGGCGGAAAAGAGGCCACGTAGCCTGTGAGACAGGCCACGCGGCGGGTGAGAGAGGCCACGTGGCCGGTGACAGGGGCCACGTTGCGGGTGGGTGGCCACGTTACCGGCGAGAGAGGGCACGTTGCGGGTGAGAGAGGGCACGTTGCGGGTGAGAGAGGGCACGTTGCGGATGAGAGAGGGCACGTTGCGGGTGAGAGAGGGCACGTTGCGGGTGAGAGAGGGCACGTGGCGGGTGAGAGAGGCCACGTGGCGGATTAAACAGACCACGTGGCGGGTGAGACAGGCCATGTGGCGGGTGAGAGAGGCCACGTGGCGGATGGGATAGGCCACGCGGCGAGTGAGAGATGTCACCTAGCGGAAGACACGTGGTGCAGGGGGGAGCCCAGGACGACCTCAGCCGCGTGGCGCCACCTGGCGCAGGAGATGCCACGTCAAAGCGAAGAGAGCCCAGACAGCCCACATGGCGCAGGAGAACCCACATTGCGGAGGGGACAACCCACATGGCGGGGGAGATGACCGACCTGGCGGAGGAGAGGCCAAATAGAGAGGCCACTAAGTGAAGGAGAGGCCACATGGCGGAGGAGAAAACCCAGACGGCGGAAGAGAGCCCGGATCGAGAGCCCAAATGGAGCTAGACCAGAGGGCGGAAGAAAGAGACATGTCAGAGGGGCGAGGTCAAGTGGTGGAAGGGACAGGTCATATGGTAAGGACAATAGACTACGCACGCTGGACAAGGAGGAGACATTCCTGGGTCAGGAAGAGAGATCCTTGGGCATGGAGTGGAAGTCCCCAATCTGAAGGGGAGAGAGAGCACAGGACGGACGCCGAAGAGACTGCACATGGCGGCGAAGAGAGGACATAGGGCTGGGAATTGGGATTAAAAGGACACGGCGGGGAACAGAGCGAGCCGACGAAGCACAAGTTACTCAAAAGGGGGATAGCAAATACATTAGAAGAGGGGGAGCATCGACATGGAAGAGGGGGAGCAACGACCAGTAAGAGGGAGATCAACGACCTGGGATTGCAGAGAGACATGGGACTTCCCCTAGTAGGCGGAAGCTGCTTTTTCAAAAAAATGGAGAACATACACGAGCGATAGCAAGGGCATAAAGGGAGATGAGAGCAAGGGAATAAATAGAGCTAAAATCACGGGCAAGGAAGAGAGCACGGCCAAGTAACATAGGCAACGGGGCAAAAAAGACTCACAGTAAAGGCGAAGTAACATAGGCAACGGGGCAAAAAAGAATCACAGTAAAGGCGAAGAGAATGCAGACGCAGGCATGGGCAACGCCGAGGAGCGATGGAAGAGGCAGAGAAAAAAACTAACGCAGAAACCGGACATAGACGAGGCAGCGAAGGGCAGGGAGGAGGAAGAGAATGCTCATCGGGGGGCAGAGATAGGGCATGGAAGAAGAATTTGGTGATGGGAAGGTAGAGGGGATCGAAGATGCAGAAAAAGAGTCTGGAAGCGTCATGGAGAGTACATGGAAGAGGCGGAGCGAGGACATGGAAGAGGGAGGGCATAGAAGAAGCAGGACAAAGAGCGAGGGCATGAAAGCGAACAAATCAAAGCGGGGAAGGAAGGAATCTGTTTATATCCCGAAGAAGCAAAAAAAGAGCAAAGGGAACAAATTCAGCAGTTAAGAAAGCAACCAAGATAATATTGGGGTTACCTACGAGATATTATGCTCTTTCCACAAGAGAATTGAACCAAGAAACCACGGCAATTTCCATAAAACAAGGAAGCTATCGTGTATATTGTAGACCGCAGCAACTGTCCACCATTACATTACAATTGCCATACTATATTCATCCACAGAACGAACGAATTCACCATCACACCGCCATTCATTGAAACTAGCATACCCTGAATCTTGTGTGTCATTCAATATCAGAGACGATCAGCCGGAACTCCATCTATAAGTTAATCATCGAAATCAAAAGAATAGCTGTCTTCACAAATGACCTGGACTCTCATCTCGGACATCAGCTATCATCACGGTTGAAACCGAAAACACGCGATAGCAAAACGAATCCAGACAAGTGATCAAATGACTAGGACTCATGCTAAATTCATCAATCCTCACTGACAGGAAGAACCGAGGTATTAAATTATCCATCCTCGCTGACAGGAAGAACCGAGGAATTGAATCATAGTAGCACTCTCGGCAGAACGACAACCCACACAGAGAAAAACGACAGGGGATCAGAGGAAAACAAGAGGAGATAAGGTCATCATACGTCTCACCTTAGTTCCGACGAACGCCATTGCAACGAACGGAGGAACTCGATAGAACCAAGATAAAGCTTAGATGATGAATTAACCAACGCAAATACTTCACAAGCCGCCGAAGATTCTTTCTGACAGGCTTGTACTGATGCGTATGTTCCAGCCAGGAAGAAGTCCACTGCAAAAGAAACAACTTCCTGTACAACAAGGAGTTTCACCCTGAAGTGTGCTACGAGATAGCCACTGTTTTCTCCCTGAAGTATGATCTGAGTAGGGACTGTTAGCTGATTTCAACTACAAAGGACAACGATGTTCCGCCGTGCAGAGAGACGGCTCTCTCTCCGCCTTCGCCAGTGTACATAGGATTACAGGAAAGCTACGATGGCTTCCCAGACACATCCACTGGGGAGGAATACCATCTCAACCACGCACATCGGACGGAACGTTAAGCGCATCGGCCACACTGATAAATCATCTAAGGCCGATATGCATAGCAAGACATGTCGACATAAAAACTTTCGGCAGAGTGAGAGAGAGAGAGAGAGAGAGAGAGAGAGAGAGAGAGAGAGAGAGAGAGAGAGAGAAGGCACGAGAGGGCGCCGTCTGACAGGAGGGGGTGGTTGGAAACGACTTCACCACAACGTGGCCTTCTCCCCCTTAGGCTGTACTACCGCGAGCTTCTTACCCCTGGCGGGTTTTCTGATCGAGAGCTACAGGGACGCGACCACAACTACTACAGACACCACATCGACCGAAACAACAGGACCTGTGTGTGCGTAAGAAGAGGAGCGCGTGGCTGCCTTTGAAGTGTTTGATGAGAGCTACTGACGTACGCGAGTTCTGAGTGCGTGCGATCAAAATTCCGGCCATCGTCATTGAACGCCCGTCCCTGCCCCGCTGCAACGGCTACAGCGTTATGGCGGGCTGCGAGATAGAGCAGGGCGGGGCATGCGGCAGAAGCAGCAGCAGTCCCAAAAAGACTCAGCCCGCCCCGCCCTCCACGCCACCCAGCCATAGTCCCGCTCTGGTCCCATTCCCGCTACGCCTGACCTCGGCCGATCAAATCGCAATTGAAATAAAGCCCCCCAACGGCTACAATGCTCATGGATGTTTAGAAGTCCGGCGGTAGTTCGGAAAGTGATTGAAAAAGGCCCCCCAACGGATCTCTCTTATGGCGGGTCTTTTCGGAGGCCCGCCGTCGGACCCCGATTACCGCGCATACGCGGCCCCTGGCCCGACCCCACCCCGTCCCCTTCGGCCCCACACCACCTTGCCATTTGCTTCTGGCATAAGCTTGTTCGATCAATCCGCGGAACCCCACCCCATCCGGCCCCCCCCCGCCCCACCCCGCCCCACCGCCCTCTTCCCCGCCTGGCCATTTGCTTCTTCTGGCATAATAAAGCCTGGACGATCCGCGAATCGTGCGCGTGGCTATGGGCCTCGCTCCACTGCTCTGGACACGCATGCACAAACGACAACTATAATGTGGCGGTATATCTTTCCATGTTCTAGCGGAAGATTCAGGGGCTCGCTGCACTACTCGCCATCCGCCAAGATTTCGAATGCATCTGGACAAAATGATGTCCAGATGCAATCAAAATGTTGGCGGATGGCGAGTAGTGCGACGAGGCCCTCACTCTCTAAGCCCAGCCCAAAGCGCCTCGCTGCACTACTCTCCAAATGTGCAAAATGAGAATGAATCCATTTCTAAACATGGAAAGATACATTGCCATCTTTTTCGTCTTTTGTGCATCTGGCGAGGCGCATAGGGCGTCGCTCCACTACTCTCGACATGCACAAAAAAAATAAAATCATGGCGGTCTTGGAATATGAATTTAGAAAACAAAAAACAAAATCACGGCGGTGTACCTTTTCATGTTCTCGCGGAAGATTGGACATTTTGAGAGTACGGGTTGTGGTGCGAGGCCCATAGTGTATCGGTTTGGCTTGGTGCTCCTTGTGGCCTCGAAACGGACTCAAAAGTTTCCAGTTTGAGAATCTTGCTGTTAAGAACGGTCCCGCACCAACGACCTCCGCCTTTCACACTCTAGCCGCCCACCCCCGACTCCGCACCTGCCGGACGGACCCCCCACCCTGAGCACCGCTTATCAGATCGTTAGAGACTGCAAATGGGGTGTCATTGGCAGACACAAAAGGAAAAAAAGAGACTGCAACCGGGGTGCCTTTGGCAGACACAAAAAGGTTCGGAGTCAGTGCACCACAAAGAGACTGCAACTGGGGTGCCTTTGGCAGACACAAAAAGACTGCAACCGGGGTAAGGTCCCGCCTGCTTGGATTTTTCGTTCCTGACCGTGGATTGAAACGATCGATGGCCGGAAAGTACAGCTAGACAGAATCCCAGTAGGTGGGACCTTGCCTCCGGGGAGTCTCGAAACCTATTCAGTCGTTTTACGCATCCCTTGCAGCGGTACCTTCTGGTCGATGTGACCAGGCTATTCTGGTCAAGCGGGCCAGCGTTCCAAGCATCCCGTTTAGGGGAATCTGAGGCTCACATCTTCCTTGGTTTTCAGCGTCCGATTCCTGTCTGCCAGATTCGCAGACAGAGGCTGCGCTTACCGCGATTGTTCTTTTGTCATTTTGTGGGGGTTCTTTTTTGGGAAATGTTGTGGATGTTCAATGAGGTTTGTCGGGGTCTTTTCGGGGCTTAGGGAAAAATGCAAAGGGTGCGGTCGCAGCTAGGAGACGGACCGGTAGTGCGAGTGGTCGTGGTAGGCTTTGGGTATTGTACGTCTAGTGGTCGTTTCATTCGGTCGTTCGGGTTTGTTGTGGACAGCGACCCGGTTTCATTTTTGGGTGATGAGAAATGGTTTGGGGACGGGTGGAAAATGGGCAGCGGGGGGTCATGAAAGTCGTGACGACTTTCTTGGGTTGGGTGCAAAATGGAGAGCGGGGGGTCATCAAAAAAATTCGAAAATTGATCGACGGGCGAGCATCAAAAACTTTCTTCGTTTTTTTCTTTTTTTTCTGAATCTGTATTTGGAACACGTTTAGATTCTACGAACTCAGGCTGCCTTTAGCTAGCAGTTCAGTCAGGGCCCTCGTCCATCCACGAAAAGCAGATAAAAAAAACAAAAGAAAACAACATCCCTTATGCTGTGATTACGGTCCGATACAGGATGCTGCAGTACTTGTCTGAAACTGAAAAGTGAGGCAGTTAGGTGCCTCGCCTGGAATCCGCCCTGCCTGGCTGGCAGGGCGCTACAAGGACCTCACAATACGAAACAAAAAATGATCTTATTCATTGCTATTCGTCTATGTGCATTTTCACTGAAAGAATTATGCTCATTGTGTCACTGCCCTACAATCTCATCATGAATGAACTCTGATTTAATAAGCTCTTTATGTTGGCATATCGGTAGTTGTCTTTCATCATGGTTTACGTCATTATTGTTTTGTTGTTCTCCATCACAGTGCGAGTCATTGTTATTTAGTTGTCTGCCGTCAAGGTTTGATTCACTGCTGTCAACTTGTTTTTTTATCAGGATCTGAATCATTGCTCTTTGTTGTCTGTCATCGGGTTTTGAATCATTGTCGGTCAACAGTTGAAATAGTATATAGAGTCAATGTTACTCTATGAATCAATCACAAATGTAAACCTGAAACTGTCTCGAACTGCATATTTCATCTCTGAGTAGTTTTCCACTCCAATGATGTTGGAACCTTCATCTCGTGCACTTGTGTTGAAAATCTTTTTTATTTTAACATCAAAATCAAAGTGTACAAATTTTGATCTTGATTTGGAGTACGTTGGACCTTGGCCCATCAAGCTTAAATCATCATCCGTGACATTCAAATTTTCATCTTTAAGGACAACCATTGGTTATCCTTTACTGTTATTTCGTCAAAATAAATATTTTTTTATTTTTTGAACGAAATTGAAACCGAGTTTTTTTGGTTGAAAATATGTCCACGGTTTTGGGTCATTAGGGTCCGACGTTCTTAAAATGTCGGACCGTCTGGATGTTTTTGGTCGGGAGCAAAGTCCACACAAATCCAAGGGGTCCAGCGTTTTAATAATGGTAGACCCTTAAAAACGAAAAATTTAAACCTGTTTTCAACAAAAAAAAAAACACGGTTTTAAAATTGTTCATTTTAATGAAATGACAGTTCATTTGCAAATGAGGTAACATTTGCCCTAGAACGCATTTTTTTCTATAAGGATGTACCTAAATAAATAAATAAGGGTTGAAATAGCAACTACTTTATTAACACTGAAGTGTTTGTTAATTAAGTTTAAGACTCTAAACTAGTTTACTTTTTTATATCATATGTTTATTTTATTTTTAAACAATAAAATTTGAATGATTTTGAATCTATGGTGTTAATTCGACTCATTCATGCATTCATTGCTCATATTGTCAGACGATACGATTCATTCTTACTACAACATCGTTCACCTCTTTCACCAATATAATGACGATATCCGTACCTCCCAGTCCTCCAACATATATTGAAAATGAGACTCATTAGACAAGAAGGCTATCCGTAAGTAGAATCCACAATCTATTCAATAACTTCGTTAATGGTGTATCAAAAGAGAAAAGACATATTTGAAACTTCAATGCAGTTCTCTTCTCATGAGTTTAACAAAACTACATTCAACTCACATATCATGTAGATAATAACTTAAGCTCCAATTTGTTAACTGATTGTGTTCTGTCTATCTTGTTAAGTTCAAATAATAATGTCTTGATTCAAAGCCCAAAGAAGTTTGTTAGTTTATTAGAACTAAATAGAACAATTTCCACAATAAATGAAAGTTGAAAAAATATTCCACAGCAAAAAAAAAATTAAAATATCATTCAAATGTTCGTCAAATTCTAAAATTTATAGTTTTATTTGATAAATTTCCGTCTAAATATAAATTTTTCCTTCGAATTACATCTATTTGTTCAAGATAGAATAAAAGTATGAATGAATTTATGAAATATTTTAATTAAATTTTCATTTTATTACAACAAATATCTTGTAATTTAAATTGGATTAACCTATTCATGACTAAAAATCCTTACTTAGAATGAGAGTCTAATTAAAATATTTCATGAACTTATCCAAACTTTCATTTAATTTTTATAATGCATTTCAAATAACAAGGGATACCCCATTCTTGGAAGGAAAGTTTTCAAGTAAGATGAAAAGTTTTAAAATTGAAATGACATTTTTTAAGATGGAATGAAAATTTAAAATTTATAATGTAATTTTACTATAGAATGATTATTTAATTCTTGGAAATTTTTCTGTTGTTTTCAAGTTCAAAATAGACAAGTTGATGGTGAGATAAACAGATGAATGCATAGACAAATCGACAAGGATAGATGGATATGGAGTCCTTGGTGTGTATAAGAACTGGCGGATGAATGAGTGGATGAATGGATAAACTAAAATGCAAATAGACAT